CTTTGTGACGTCATTCATGTGACCTTTAAGAGCACTAAAAGAAAAATTTCCGGCCTCGGCGATATAAACAGTCCACAAACGTAATCCTCCAAACAACGCCTGGAAACTTTTTTCCTTCGTGAGCTTCTCTTTCAAGCGCTCCAGCTATGCTCCATTTCACGGGAGTGAACAGGCACCGCGTGTTCGTCATAAGTTCACAGAATTCGTTCCAACGCTTCGCTGACAGCTGGCGCTTTAGAGGACGGCTCCATCGACTTGGGGCTGAATCTTTCGCCGTGAGGCATCGTAGCGAGTGCGCAGTTTTGCAGAGCGAACAAAACTAACAAGGTACCCACGTTGGGAAAGTTCATGGCGAACTGTGAATGCATCAGTCGCACTGTGTGTACGTAAGTATTATCTGTGGTTTCGCGTCCAAAAAAACAGCGTTTGATTGCGAAAGACGGCGTATTGGAGGGCTCCGGAAATGTTGACCATCTGGTTCTTTTTGACGTGCACTGACATCGCACAGGACAAGGTCTTCTACTATATTGCCTCCGTCAAAATGGGACCACGACGGACAGGATCGAACCCGTGACCTTTGGATGAGCAACCGAGCACTCTAGCCACTGCTCCACCGAGGTGGACACGGCGTGTATGTCAGCCCATGGCATCGCTTTTGGTGGCGTAAACTATTAGCGCCATCATGTGCTCCAGAATTGTACCCAGCTACCCGGACACATGTCTAATAACTTTTACGAGGGCGTGCGTGATGAGTAGACTGGTCCACGCCCCCTCTTGGTTCCGATATATACGGAAGATGCCACTTAAAGAGGGACAATATGCCTGCACTGTTCAGTTCTAAGCTTCTCATGTCAGACGAAGCTCTTTTACTCATGAAGTAACCTGGCTTTTGGAATGTTCATTGCGTTTACCCGCGTAGCTACAGCACAAGGGTTGAACGGCATGCTGATACAATGGCTTATACTTACCTTGACTTTATCGAAAAACGTTGCATCTGGACAGATGAGTCGCTAAGATCCACCAGCGAGGAAGGGCATGCAGCAGGTGAAATTGACCATCACTATAGTACTCATCAGTCGATTCAGCACGGACGAAATGGGTAAGAGCACATACAGAAAAACAAAACAAAGAGAGACACCGCAAGCAGAATATCGGAGGGCTAGCTGAAATTCACACAAATTGATAATCTTCGACGGCGTTATGGGAAGCGTTCATTTCGCCAACTTATCACAGAGCCGGAAAAGATGCGCCGTAACTTCGAACGCTGTCTTATATCGACCACACAAGATGAAAAAGAAAGCTTAGGCGGCACACGCTACTGAAAAGTGCCCGGATGTGTCGCGTCACTCAGTCAGCCTTTCCCAATTTTCTTTCCCAATCGGGTTCCAGGGCGCTGCAAAGAAACGGATAAGGAGAGACGAGTTGGATTCCAGGACTGGCACCGCGATTGCCTTTGAAAGAGTGGCGCCAACTTGCGTTGCCGCTACCACCCTGCTAGCGACGACAGGTGCTAACTGTGAAACTGTTGTGTTGTCTCTCGTATGAGAAGGGTAGTTCCGAGGGGCAGCCACGGTGCGGCACCAAACTTTTTAAACGTTTTAAATATGGACAAAAAATTCATATTGTCTCACTGTATATCACACGCTGGTGACAATCAGCAAGCAGTCCAAAAATATTTCCTTGATTGCGATGGTCGTGAATATTTATAACTACTATTTTGAATGTTTACCCATTTAGAATTTCATTCAGCTATCTATGTTGTATTTATTTATTTATTAGTTGTAGCCTGTATAATGTAATGCCACTACTTTTAAAGGCATCAGCTTGAGGAGAGACAAAGAAAATGACAAAGGACGAGGAAAAAAATGCGTGTAACAACAGGATTTGTGGGCGAAAACCGAATCAAACAAAAGTGAAAATAAGAAACGCGCGTGGCCATATCATTTACTGAACTAAGAAATTTAGTGGTTCAACGATTCGATAAAACAATTGATCACTATTGTGCGCCAAAAATAAATTTGTTGCCATATGCATTGTCTTTTACTACTTTTGTCACCACAGCCCCGCCGCGGTGGTCTAGTGGCTAAGGTATTCGGTTGCTGACCCGCAGGTCGCGGGTTCGAATCCCGACTACGGCGGCTGCATTTCCGATGGAGGCGGAAATGTTGTAGGCCCGTGTGCTCAGATTTGGGTGCAGGTTGAAGAACCCCAGGTGGTGAAATTTTCCTGAGCCCTCCCCTACGGCGTCTCTCATATTCATATGGTGGCTTTAAGACATTAAGCCCCACATATCAATCAATCAATCAACAATAGCGAAAAAAGAAGAGGGAAGACCAAGAAAAAGAAGCGCATGCGGGCACGCGAGATTGGAAGGTGGGCGCGGGCGAAGACGACTGTTGGCCAGGACGGCAGAGAAGACGACGGATGGTCGAGGAAGTCGGGGTCTCGCCCCAGGGCTTCAGCGCTTCGAGAGCCGTCCACGTTTCTACCTCGGCGAGCTGGCCATCATCGTGCTCCAAGTCGTCCAGCTGGCGTGTGGGGCAGCGTCATGCCACCGACCTTGAACGAGCCCGGGATCGCGGCCATCCGTCTGCACGCCATCGTCCCACGGACTAGAGAGGCCTGGGAGGTGCCCGAAGTTCCTGTTGGCACCAGTCTCACCACCGAATGGGAACGACATTCATGTGCCTCACCTCGTTTGCGAGCGTCCTTTTATACCGCCAGGACCGACGGACGCAGGAGTGACTACAAACGCACGTGGGACTTGGCCGTGCTATACGAGGTGTTTACTATTATTTTCTGAGGTCCTATGGGTCTATCGTTAGTTCTATTTCGATGAGTGTACATATTTTTACCTGTGCTTCTAGTATTTGTACCGTTAAGTGGATTGAAGTGGCCCCACCGTAGCGGTCCAGTGGCTAAGGTACTCGGCTGCTGACCCGCAGGTCACGGGATTGAGTCCCGGCTGCGGCAGTTGCATTTTCGATGGAGGTGAAAATGCTGTAGGCCCGTGTGCTCAGATTTGGGCGCACGTAAAAGAACCTAAGGTGCTCGAAATTTTCGGAGCCCTCCACTAGGGCGCCTCTCCATGGTTTTGGGACGTTAAACCCTACATATAAATCAATCAATGATTGAAGCCTGTTTATGTATCACGCCTCGTAACCTTCATGTGTCAAACCCGCTTGCTCAAACAAAAAGCGTCGGACCAAACACACATCGTGACAGTCGGTAACTCTGTTTTCAGGCCATGAGGTATCTTGTTCTAAGTTGTAGTTACATTTTTGTGTTATGGAATTCCACTGCTACCTGCATGTCATTCTTATTGTTTATGTATGAGTGCTAGTACTTTTCGTATATTATTTACCACACGCATGCGAGTTTTTGTGCGTTGAATGCATGTAGGGTGCTAGAGGCCTAGTCAGGTGACGTGTCTTTGATCATCACCTTATGCCACAACCACCATGGCAATCTTGTGTTGTTGCACGAATGAATGGATAAACAAAAGGAAGCTAGCCCACTCTCGATGGCGGTTTAAACTACGCCGCATCACACTAGGAATATCGAATCAACATTATAGCAATTATACCTTAAGTCAGCATATTGAACAGAACACGCTCTGACTAGCTTGGACGATAGTGTTGAGGCCTTATAAGTATCAGGAGCCATGTAATTTTCGATAATTGGCGTGACGTGACGATACCTCACATTACTGTGTCGGTTGTTGGGGTCACCACGAATGACGTCAAAAAGCTATGTAGTTAATAAATTAGGTCGGTGAAAAGCCACGCGGCACAAAAGTGATGTGTGTGCCGGTGGCGTACCGAGAATTAGATAATATCGACGTAGTACGATGTCCTGACTTCACCCAGGGATGTCATCGAAGTTTTTTTTTTAATTTGTGGCGTCACCGTAATCACATGACATCATCACTGTAGCAAAGGTGAGCTGAAATCGGAAGCAGGCGCTTAACGCCATGAGGTGCAGGAAGGATGCCAGGTCGCAGATATGGTAGGCATTATAAAACTACGAAAGTTGCAGGTTCGAATCCTGCCGGTGGCAAGTGATCTTGCCTCCAACTTTTCTTCCTTCACATTTATATTAGTTACTTTTTAAAAACATGCCCTATGCTTCCCTTAGCATCATTCTCTTTTAGTTTTCATTATAATGTTGTGTCTAACAAGAAAAACGAGTCTTAAATTACACTTCTTTCTTGAAGTTAGGTGCAGCAATTTTTGTGACTATAGGAAGAGAGAGAGGATTAATACAATCGACTGAGGAGAAAAAAGATGTCACTTTCTCTTCGAGTTGTGCACATGTACATTAGAAATCATGCTACACTTTTGGTACCACTGGGAGAGCGATTCACAAAAAATTGCGCTCGTCGTAGCCTACTGCGGCTCAAGCTGAGCGAAAAAATACTCAGGTGGCCTTATTCGCCCTTCAATTTCTAAATTCACCCGGATTGAGACTGACCAAAATAGACAATGAACTAGTCTACCTGGACAGGAGCTCACCGAAATTTTACTGAGCCACCCTTCTCGCTTACTGAAACCAACGCACTTGTCTCAGTCTCAGTGATCCTAAGTGAGTGAACGTAAGAGGGGGGTTTGCCGAAAGATGTACCCTATAGCTGCCGCCATACAGCGAGCTTATAGTTAAAGTTTAGATGGCACAGTCATTCGACCACTAAGGCAGACAGAGCAGAGACCATTTTCAAAGAGAAATTGCAAATTATCAGCGCAATAAAACAAGAGAGAGTACTGGTATCACAAGCATAGGTGAGCGTTCTGTGCTAAGCAAACTCCGTACAAGTTAGTCAATAACCGTTGACACATCGGAAACGGCAAATATTCACCCGATGCTACCTTTATTTTGTAACTATGAAGCACGCGTTTATTGTCAAATAATGACATTTCATAAACTACTAGACAGCAAGATTATCTACAAAGGAAAAGAATGAGCTATGAGAAGCAGCAATTCTCTGCGGTAACACATCCGGAACGTACTGCTGTCACTTCCGGCCGACGGAAACGAGATTTCTGACAATCTTCATCGCGAGGTCCTTGTACGCTCCCTTGTGGTAAAGAACGATTTGGCCACCAGGAAAGTGACCATCAGGCTCGGGGAAGTAGCCGGATTCGGTGTAGACTTCCGTCTCCGGAATGAAAGGGAATTCCTGCTGAAAACCGCTGCCGGATGCACTTGTGGGACCAGCGCTGGCGGCAGAAGCTTGTGGCGCGCTCGTAGTCGGGGCTTGGAGGAATAGCTCCGGAAGGGGCAGTTTTATCGCTGAGTCGATGTCGAGATTATGGCGTCGACGAACTGAGATCAGTTCAAAACGAACACAGCATTAGATTGAGTGATTCATACATCACGATGGATTTTACAATGCGCTCTTTGTCACCTTTTTTAGTACATAGTGGGAATAATTTTCCGTGACTGTAAGCTTGGAAGCGCTAATATTAATTATTACATGCTTCCCCGTAGGCTATGCTTCATAAAATTACTGACGTTGTTTGACATATTTGCTGAAAAAGTGTCACGCAGTAGTGATGCACTCGAACATATCTTTCAGCTGATGTTCCTTTCAAGTCACACAGAATGCGTTGTAGATAATTTGCCTGCCTGACTGAGTTTTTTTAGCTGAGCTCTTTTAAAGCCACTTTCTTAACAAAATATCTGCGAAAATATGTCAAACATTTCACGTGATTACTAAGATTCCTGTCTATGTCACTGTCTTCAGTACGCATCATTTCTTTGGCCAGCACGGCCTGCTTCCCCACCCGAGCTAGTGCCTTCAGGACAACTAGTATGTACAATGAATAAACATAAAAAATTCCGCCATATCCACGAAGTGAATGATGATGAGTGGGCGAAGCTCCGGAGGTAAACCTGGTAAACCATGAATGCTCTGTACATTTTGCCCACTCGATTTTATTACATCGCTCCCCCTAGCGTACGTCGCCGCACTAAATCGAACGATTGCCTTCAACCAATGACACGCGCCATATGTGACATCATTCCTATTTTATAAGATCTCGCGTCTTTCATCAACTACAAGTACCGCTTTCTAGTTTATAACATCTTGCATCTTTTCATCATCAGCAACAAGTACCACCATCTAGTAAACACTACCAGAACTAAACGAGAGGTGGCTACATACAGGAGACGGTACCGCCATCTAGTGAACACTGCAAGAACTAAACTAGAGGTGGCTACATACAGGGGACGGTACCGCCATCTAGTGAACACTGCAAGAACTAAACTAAAGGTGGCTACATACAGGCTACAGGGGACGCACAGCCCACGCCCTAAGGAGCTTCGCCCCTAAAACGAATATTGCCAACGCCCTGATGGCTTCCAATTCTTCGCTTACAGTACTGGTGCATAGAGCTCCAATGAGTACTATACTGGTGCAAGTCTCTTTGTGTGCAATAGCGCGCCTCTCGAAATGTCTTGCTTTCAACTACACTCGTTTTCCACATCACCTACGATTTTCAAAGGAATGCCCTTCGCGCAAGACAGCAAGTGTATACTGTGAGTGTGTTTTCTCGAAGACGACGAATTGTCGTCAAGTCACCGTTTTGCTCTTCGCACCGACAAAGATGACCTGCTCAGGTCAATTTCCGCAGCACCTTTTTTTCTGAATTTGTTGTAGCGTGGTCTTAACATGTTTTGTATTAGTACCTGAGAAACGAATAAACCTTACCGCATGGCACCATTTGGTAACGAAGTCTGAAGCCAGCGTGCTCTGGTCGATGGGTGCCGTTTGCCACAAAAGTTATGACCATTGCTCCCGTGTCCACTGTAAAAAAAAATAAGGAAAGAAAATAAAAAAGCAAAGTGCAGAACTTCATGAAATGTCCTAATTGTTTTGCAAAAGCATGAAGAATCCTTCTGCGAATAAATCAATTATTGTGAAAAAGCACGACTGTTTTTGTTCGCCTCTGCTGGACATGTTAGAAAGGCAGCGTTCCTGCTCCCATAAATTATGCAAGGCTAGATCCGCCGGGTACCTACAACATCCTCAACCTCAACCTCAACCTTACAGTCTCCAGAAACAACGGCAGGGACATCGACGTTCTTTTATTAGAGAACTTACAGACTGAATAGCGTATCATATTATCCTCTTAGGTTTAGAGCATATCTGAGTATGCAAAGTAAGCACGCGTATTTTTTTTGAAATTGTGCTAAGAAGGCTAGCATTCTCTTATCATAACTTCTCTCGTTATATCTATGAGAATGAAATATAGGGAGTTATAAATACAAGTCTGTCTGGAAACATTGAGTCCATCCGCATTTGGTGGTTTAGCATAATTTCAAGCGTCCAGTTTATCTAGAAAGTGTGAGGAAACATCCCTAAACACTTCTGCCTCTATTCAGATCATTTTAATGCGGTAAAAATTTGGACACTCGTTCAAATACGTCATAACCAGATATATTTGCTCCCATACGCCGGTGTAACCGTCGAATGTCAGAAAAAAAAGATTAGCTCTGTTGATTTAGTTTAACTCTTCCTTATATATAAAACACTAAGTGTTTATCAGTTTTCTCAGAACCAAACCATTCGGGAGTAAACCATTTCACGAAAGGAGGCTCTGGCGAAAAGAGATGATTGTTGCCGTTATTCTATAAGAAAGCTTGTGCGTCATGATGTTTACTTGCAAGTTCGAGCAGAACTCAACGCTTGAAGTGATCATATATCATCAAACAAAAAAAAAGTGGATGAAGCCAATACTTTGGGAAGAACTTGTCTTTGTCAAGGCAGCTACCTTGACGAAGACAAGTCCACAGTTTGAAAGATTGGCTTCAGCCACATTTCTGGTTTAGAGACATCTCATCACCTGAAGTTAACTTTTATTTAGCAAGAGTTCTATGTGCCAAAGACACGGAATGATTGGAGGCATGCCGTAACCTTGTGATTTTGTAATTTTTACCAGACTCTTATACATTAAGGTGCAGTGACATTGAACATGGCACATTATCATTTATCTTCCTTCGAAATCCGACCACTGCGGCCACAATCGTACCCGTGACCTTCTGGTTAGATTGCATCGTAACCGTTGTGCCACCTGGTGGTCATTAGTTTAAGGTTTTCCATAGCGTGTTACCGATTCGGTAATGTAGAAATCAGTCGTATATCATGGGCAATGAAATTTACCCATTTCCAAAGAGTCCGGAAAGTCATCTCCACAGAAGGGCTGGACGCCCAGCATCAGGAAGTCTGCCTGCAGTGGTGACCCGAAGCGAAAGTCTTCGCAGCGATTGGTCACCGACCTTCCTGGGTCCAGAGCATTTCCGGGAGCGGGATCGGCGTACACACCGAACGGGCCAGTCTTTGGCTAGGCGCAGTGCGCACGCGCCAGCAGCCAGCCGAAAGCAAATAGAGTATCGGCTGAAGTTGGGGTAGCCCCTCTCTAGGCGTCCGCTTCCACTTCCGGTTGAAGGGCTGTCACTTCCGTAGTTGAAGCTCGATATGACACCAGTAGGATCTTCGTGGTACTGCAGACAACCGGAAGGGGCTGTGACAAAAAGAAAATGCTGTGTATTCTATGTTAAAAGCGTTGGGGCTATGAACAAATGGTCACTCGAGAATTCGACGCATTCTCCTTAGACGACCAGAAGGCAACAATCACCTTCATTTTTTTCTGTCTTTTTTCTGTCGCAGTCGATTGCATTGATGACGAGTGAAAGCTCTCAACACCGAGCCTGGTCTACGCTGCCTCCGAAATCAAAGGCGCTGAAAGTTTAGCGCACATTGCGCTACGTTCGATCGTGTGTTGTAGAACTTCCGAGATCAGCACACGTTTGAGCTGACGACGATGCTATGTGATGACGTCACCACGTGAGGTAAAAGTATATGAAGTCACAGCGACGTGATAACCACGTCGAAAATTTGGACGTATGATGTCGTCATCCCGGTGTGACTGTCTTTGTTCACTTAGACGCCACCGACGCCGATGGTCTCTTTTCACGCATGAAGAGGCACTTTAGGCTTTCTCCCGAATATTGTACGACGCGATGTGGCTCTGCGATCGCGTTTAGCATGCCAGCTCATGCACTTACCACAAATCTTCGGAGATCACAAATGAACCCCTCTACTTCATTTCCCGCAGCGATGAACAACGTCAGACTCTCCAACGTGCTTCAGGCAAAAATGTAATGAACAATTTAAAGATGCGTATACCATAGCAGCCTGGCCCTGCATTTTTTCAGCTCGGAAAGGTGTACCACCTCCTTTGTTGCAATTGCGGGCGTTATATGGTAAGGCGCCCAGCTTGAAATGCGCTGCATCACGTTTGCGAATACGCTGGACTAAATTCTTCTCAACATACAACATACGATGACCTTTACAGTAGTTAAGTGCGAGAGACTGGAGAAAGTGCAATTAAACTCCCTACCTTACCTATACTGCCTCTGTAGTTGCTGTGGCTACTGCAACCACAAAAGACACTTGTTACGTCTATTCTCATTACCAAATTATCGAAGATACTGGCGCGAAAACAATTTATTGCTGAGTAAATTTTGCCGAGTGTTTCGTGTCATGAGACGCTTTGTGGATGATGCAGTGAAGCAGGCGCGATGAGTTTCATGCAGTCTAAGATGGAAAGCCAGCCAAAGAAAAACTACAATTGTTCTGCTCACCTAATCTCTGGCTGGTGCACGGCAGCTGGATAACTCTAATCTTCCAGCTTCGTTGCGTACCGTTGGGAGTGAGGAAAATTGACAGTCTTACCGGGCCAGTTGATTGGCTCACGCTGACGTAAACTGCAATGAAGATGCATAGCCAGTCAAATTAGGCAAGATGGTGCACTTAGACTGAAGTACCACACATTAATTTTTGTCCATATCTGGTATGCGTCAGGGATTTCCTTTCTTTTTATTCATGCATGCGCACAAACACACGCAAACACACACAAACACGCACGCACGCACAAAGCTACTTTTCCTACTTTTGTAGACCAGCGTGCAACGAAAACAAAAGCTAGATAATGTACAGTTTGATTAGTGTGACGGTTTTGGCATCATATTGTACATGGTGGAAATTGGCGCAGTTTCTTAAGTGGAATCATCTAGCAAAAATATATAGAGTACCGTGTTGTCCGTTGTTTAGTCCACATATTAAGGGTACCACGCTGTTTTCATCCTGACCACTGACGTGGAATGCATCGTGGCTGCACACTCCAGACAAGTGAGATACGTCTGGACCAATGATGTCTAAGCGCTCCATGTTCAGTCTCAGCTGACACACTGTTGGGTCCACCTGTGAAGAATATAATAACCAGTTGGACAGGTAACGTTAGGTTTACGATATTAAAATTTTTAAAGGTATACAGCATTAGTAATTTAAGGATGTTTAGTTACTTTGGTGAAGACCCCTCACCATGGCCCACTAGTCATTGTGGCTCTGCAGGCCTGGTCAAGAGTCAGTGATCGATTTTTCGAGTTCAGCGTAAGTAATCGCTCCTCCCACCAACAATTGACGATGTCATCGAATACTGAACATCACATAACGTGTATGTACTGTTGTGAGTGAAGTGCGCGAGTCAAGTGACTTTCAAATTTGGCGCGTAAGATGAACTACTGACAATGTGTGCAAGATGGCGTATTGCGCCAGTGCGGCGAACACTGGCGATTGGAAAAAGAAGAAAATTCAAGGGAATGGGAGAAAAATCCAGAGCCAGGGCATCGAAGAACGAGGAAGAAGAGATTCGGGCTCGTGCTTGGAAGAAGAAGGCTAGGGTGCGGCGTGCGACCTCGTCGGGTGCGAGTACCTCCTGGGCGTCAGGGCATCCACCTAGCTGGCGACTGTTTCCACGGGGTCCTGGTGACCATTCAACCGCAGCGGCTATTGGCGAATCCTTGGCAAGACCTTGGTCTGATGTTCGAGCGGAAGACAGCGCAGCAGACGACGTCTACCGGGAGCGGGAGCAAGCCGTCGGGCTACGGGCCCGAGCTTATGCACTCTCACCACGGCAGCTTCCCCAATGGACTATTGAAGGGCGTGAACCGCTGGTGAGCCGTATCCGTCTTCTTTCGCGTCCGGACTCAAACACGAGGACTTTAACGAAAAGGACTGTTTAGACTCTTAGAGGTTTCCGCTCGTTAACGAAACTGACAGTGCTAATTAGTTAACATTTTTCTGATCTTAGTATTTTCCTTTTTGTGTTTTTTTTTGTGTGTTTGTGAAAGTATAATTTTTTTTGCAAATCAAACGCTCACTTCCTTTTCTCGTGAGAGAATAACGTTTCACAGCTAGCTCGACTGGCTTTATTTACTGAACCTGTCACAAATTGGCGTCCGCTACGACAGGACGTGAGTGTTTGCCACTAAAAAGTAGATTTGAGTAAGGCTAACTAAAAAAGTAAAATGGGCTCGCGAGAGTTGATGGCGCTGGCAGAACGCATGGGGTTGGAGGGAGCAGAATTGCAGGCTTGGTTTGACGCACGAGAAGCGCGTGAGCGCGATGAACGAGCCGCGGAGAGAGACGCGAAGAAAGAACAGTTGGAGCTGGAAGGCCGCAATTTACAGCTACGTCTTGAAGTAGCAAAAACGGAGAACCAAACCCGAGAAGCAAGCCAGCGACACTTGGAAGTAGAAGAGAGGACGCTGCAACTGCGCCTGAGAGTAGCTGAGGCCGGTGTCGGTCAGCCTACGGTGGCTGACACGGGCAACCAAAGGAACGCGCCTATGGTAGTGAACCCGCATAACTTTATACCCGTTTTCAACGAGGACAGAGACGACCTTGACGCCTACCTGAAAAGGTTTGAGAGAGTGGCGACAGGTCAAGATTGGCCCCGGGAAAAGTGGGCCACGGCTCTTAGTTTGTGCCTTGGCGGAGAGGCTCTGAAGGTATTTGGACGGTTGTCACCGAACGATTCCCTGTCATACGACGAAGTCAAATTGGCACTGCTCCAGCGTTTTCGCTTCACGGCTGATGGTTACCGTGAGAAATTCCGGAAAAGCAAGCCTGAAGACGGCGAAACTGGAAAACAGTATGCCACGAGACTCCAAAGTTTCTTTGACAGGTGGATAGAAATGTCTCAGACAGAGAGGAATTTCGATTCAGTCCGTGACTTGATTGTAGCCGAACAATTCATGGCGAACTGCAGTAGTCAGCTGGCGCTCTTCTTACGGGAGAAGAACTGCAAGACTCTGGAAGCCATGGCAGAGGCAGCTGCATATATATAGAGGCAAAGAGATTGAAGAACTTATTAATAGTTCAGAATAAGAGTGAGGACACAACTGGGAAGGCTAAATTGATTTCAAGCCCAAGAGCAGAGATGCAATGTTTTGTTTGTGGCCGTAAGGGGCACAAGGCTTCTGACTGTCGAAGTAAACCTAAACAAGTATTTTGTACAAACTGCCGTAAGTGGGGGCATGATGTGAAGGGCTGTCAGAAAATGACTGGCACTTCGAAATCAACTACATCTTGTTTAATGCTACCCAAAGAAGAGACCGGTCCACAACAATCCATGATTGATGGCGACGACTCGGACCGAGACGACAATGTTATGGGCACGGTGAAGACGCAAGCGCAATGTAAGAAACGTCCCATGCCAGTGTTACCAGGGGAAGTGAATGGACAAATTGTTCGAGTCCTAAGGGACACCGGAAGCAACACGTTGGTAGTACGCCGGTCATTAGTACCTGATGAAGCACTAACTGGCACTACCGCGACGTTGTGGTTGGCTGATGGCAGCACCATCGTAACCCCTGAGGCGGAGATACGTATCAGATCTCCATACTTTTCCGGCATGGCCATCGTCAAGTGTATGCCGTCGCCACTGTATGACGTCATAGTTGGGAACGTACCGGGGGCCCGTGACGCCAATGACCCCGACGTTTCGCGGAAACTTTCTCAAGATCAATTCATTAAGAAAAAAGTTCATTCTGCGGACGAAGGTAACCACCCAAATTCTCAACTGGTTGGTGCCGCACGTCTCAATAGTTCGCGAAGGGCCATCTCTGTTGGGCTCCCTGGCCAGATGTCTCGCAAAATGTTTCGCGAAGAACAAGAAAAAGACCAGACGCTTGACATCTGCAGAGCCAGAGTGGGTAAGAAGTTTGTTAGAAAGGGCTCGACATCTTTTTCTTTCGTAGCCAAGAATGGTATTCTTTACCGACAATACTTCCTGTCCCCTGGCAAGATCATTGAACAAGCCATAGTCCCGAAGTCCCTGAGAGGCCAAGTGTTACGTTTGGCTCATGAAAATGTCATGTCAGGTCATCAGGGTGTAAAAAAAACAATAGATCGAGTTCTGGACGCCTTCTACTGGCCCGGGGTACAAGAAGATATCCGCAGATATGTCCGATCATGTGACGCCTGTCAAAGGACTTTACCGAAAGGCAAGGTGGGCAAGGTGCCTCTAGGGCGTATGCCGTTGATCGACACCCCTTTTGAACGTGTGGCGGTCGACATCATTGGACCGATAACTCCAGCCTCGGCAAAAGGCCATCGGTATATTTTGACTCTTGTGGATTTCGCCACTCGCTACCCTGATGCAGTGCCTTTGACAGCAATTGACTCAGCTACAGTGGCCGAGGGACTTGTCGAGATGTTTTCTCGCATTGGTTTTCCACGAGAAGTCTTGGCTGATCAGGCATCGTGCTTTACCTCAGATCTAATGAAGGAGGTGAATGAACTACTGGCAGTCAAGCATCTTAGCTGCACTCCATACCATCCTATGTGCAACGGGATGGTAGAGAGGTTTAATGGAACACTCAAGCAAATGCTCCGCAAAATGGTTCAAGAACAGCCTAAATGTTGGGATCGCTTGCTAGCACCTCTTTTGTTTGCTTATCGTGAAGCCCCACAAGCAAGCTCCGGGTTCTCACCATTTGAACTTATTTATGGCCGACATATTCGAGGACCTCTGAGCATCCTGAAAGAGCTATGGACTCATGATCAGGAGAACGAAGAACTTAAGACGACGTACGGATATGTCCTGGATTTAAGAGAGCGAATTGAGAAGACACTGGAGCTGGTACGACAAAACCTGAGCCGAGCACAGGTGTCGCAGAAAAGGTATTACGACCGCCACAGTAAGCAACGGGACCTGAAAGCTGGTGACCGTGCATTGATCTTGCTTCCCACAAGCAACAACAAGTTATTGATGCATTGGAAAGGGCCGTTTCCAGTCATAGAAAAGAAAAACGACTATGACTACTGGCTGGACCTTGGACACAGCAAAAAACTTTTCCACATAAACATGCTGAAAAAGTATGAAGAACGCCGTGAAGAACAGCTTCCTCAGACATCATCTTTTGTCGTTCTGGAGGAAGAGGAGTCTGAGAAACCACTACCAACTTTCAAAGTACAGGGTAGCTGCGGTATTGACTCCATAAAGCTTGGAGATGAAATCGGGGAGCGACAGCGGGTGGAGATACGGGACATCTTAAGTACCTACGAAGACGTATTCTCGGAGATCCCAGGTAAAACAAACCTTGTGGAGTGTCGGTTACAAACGACCAGTTCAGAACCAGTTAACACCCCACAATACCCATTGCCATTCTCTATGAAGGAAGTCGTTGAAAAGGAAGTGCAAGACATGTTGCAACTTGGCATTATAGAACCCTCAGAGTCTCCATATAATTCTCCTTTGGTACTAGTCAAAAAGCCAGACAATGGCTACAGGGCCTGTATAGACTTTCGCCGTATAAACAATGTTCTGGTATCTGATGCAGAACCTATACCCAGAACTGATCACTTGTTTGCCGAAGTGGGAACAAAGAAATGGTTCTCGAAGTTTGATTTAACTAAAGGATATTGGCAGGTTCCTCTCGCAAAAGACTCGCAGCAAAAGACCGCCTTTTCAAGCCAATCAGGGCATTATCATTTCCTGTATATGCCTTTTGGCATCAAGACCGCATCCGCGGTCTTCACTCGTCTGATGAGAAAGTTATTGCTTGGAATACCCAACGTCGTTCATTACATAGACGACGTACTGGTGGCTACCACTACGTGGGAAGAACATCTAACAACTTTGAAGCAATTTTTTGCCAGGATACGACAAGCCGGACTAAGGATCAAGCCACAGAAATGTGAAGTGGCTATGAGCACAGTCACCTTTTTGGGACATCGATTGGGAGATGGCAACATACGGCCAGTCGAAAGCACGATACAGAAGATCACCTGTGCTTCTAAGCCTGAAACAAAGAAGCAACTCCGGTCATTCCTTGGACTGGCTGGCTACTACCGTGACCTGATACCTCGGTACGCCGAGAAAGCACAGCCGCTCACTGAGATGACGAGGAAGATGGAGAAAAACAAGACTACGTGGACCACGGATAGAGAAGAAGCGTTTGAATCACTCAAAAGGGCTTTGTCTTCTGGGCCAATCGTCAAAGCACCCGATCTGAAAAGAGAATTCGTGCTTCGGTCTGACGCCTCTGATTCTTGTATAGGCGCTATCCTTATGCAAGAGCATGATGGCATCCTCCACCCTGTGTCATATGCCAGTCGTCAACTTCAGCCTCGCGAAAAGAGATACTCAGCAATCGAGAGGGAATGCTTGGCGTTGGTCTGGGCGATAGAAAAGTATCATGTTTTTCTGTACGGAACGTCATTTGTCGTACAGACCGATCACCAACCACTGCAGTATCTCTTAAGGGCAAAACACCTGAACAGTAGGGTATTACGGTGGAGCCTCGCGTTACAAGAATATTCATTCCGAGTCGAGCACATTAGAGGCTCTGAAAATGTCGGCGCAGATTATATGAGCCGGTTGTGAATTTTTACGTTTTCTCGAGACAAGCGACTACTTCAAGTTGTTTGTTTGTTAAGGACATCTTGTGAATGGACGACGCGTGGTGACTTCTCGCGCACTGAACTGCAGTTTATTTTTCTTCGCAAAAGAAACTTTTCAAAGGGGGGACTCTTGTTGTGAGTGAAGTGCGCGAGTCAAGTGACTTTCAAATTTGGCGCGTAAGATGAACTACTGACAATGTGTGCAAGATGGCGTATTGCGCCAGTGCGGCGAACACTGGCGATTGGAAAAAGAAGAAAATTCAAGGGAATGGGAGAAAAATCCAGAGCCAGGGCATCGAAGAACGAGGAAGAAGAGATTCGGGCTCGTGCTTGGAAGAAGAAGGCTAGGGTGCGGCGTGCGACCTCGTCGGGTGCGAGTACCTCCTGGGCGTCAGGGCATCCACCTAGCTGGCGACTGTTTCCACGGGGTCCTGGTGACCATTCAACCGCAGCGGCTATTGGCGAATCCTTGGCAAGACCTTGGTCTGATGTTCGAGCGGAAGACAGCGCAGCAGACGACGTCTACCGGGAGCGGGAGCAAGCCGTCGGGCTACGGGCCCGAGCTTATGCACTCTCACCACGGCAGCTTCCCCAATGGACTATTGAAGGGCGTGAACCGCTGGTGAGCCGTATCCGTCATTTTCGCGTCCGGACTCAAACACGAGGACTTTAACGAAAAGGACTGTTTAGACTCTTAGAGGTTTCCGCTCGTTAACGAAACTGACAGTGCTAATTAGTTAACATTTTTCTGATCTTAGTATTTTCCTTTTTGTGTTTTTTTTTTGTGTGTTTGTGAAAGTATAATTTTTTTTGCAAATCAAACGCTCACTTCCTTTTCTCGTGAGAGAATAACGTTTCACAGCTAGCTCGACTGGCTTTATTTACTGAACCTGTCACATGTACACGCTTGATGGCAACAAAACATGTCTAGCGCATTTATTGTGCAATGTGCCAGTAGAACTTTGTACATTTCAAGTGGCTGTTGTGCACTCTTCAATCACTGTCAAAGTACTTTTTTTTTCAATTGGTTTATAATCAATGGGAACTTGCACGCAGAGTCAGTCATGATTTTACTACCGATAAGTTACCACCGGTGATTTTCAACGTCGGAAACAAACAGAAATATTCGTTATATTTGAAGTAACAATTGCTTACTTTTTTTACATGCATGAACTGTTTCTGTGAGTAGAGATCGGCCGAAAGTCAAAACCGTTTTAGATTTAGTTTTAAAAGAGTTGACAAGAAATCAAAATGATTAGTCGGAGTACGTGAGGTTGTCATTGTGATTTTAGATGTATGGTGAGCCTTACGGCAAGCGCTCTGTGCGTCTCCTTCAGTAGATATGAAAGTCTTAAAAACATGTTTTCGGCACTACAAGCCCAGCATGACGCTCAGAGCACTAGAGCGCGCTACCCGCTTAAATGAGTACATCGACAATGCAGGCGTAGTTTTCATTCTTAGTGAATGGAGCAGCGCGTCCTACTTACTTTGTAGACCGTGACAGAGCAGAGCACACCGTTCGGACTCGGAGTCAGTGAACCACCCATGGATGCTGGGTCTACGAAGTAACTGTTGTTTCGCGTTATGATCTCACCGCAAGTTCGGGACACTGTATGAGGCGAGAAGAAAAACGTGGTAATATTGAAGTTCGTGTATTTGGATTCCAGTCCTCACAACACAAGCCTGTGGGGCACGGTGACAATGACTCGACGCCGACAACACCAAATAGCTCGAGTATAAATTCGAGCGGAAAAGAGAGAAAAAAGAGCATTGCAACATTCTGGAGCATGTACAACTATCGCTGAAAAGTGAGTCAGTGTGACCAAAGAATTTTGCTTATGCATACGCCGAAAGTGAGGCAAAACTTGAGGGTTCTTTTTTTCGTGGGACTTGTTTCTTTGTCAGACGTGGCCAAGTGTACCCAAAGGACAAGTAATTTGGCCAGAGAAATCATAAGAAACATAGGTTGCGTTTAAATGTAATGTATTATTGAGGAAAATTGACGTAAATTTTATTTCACGTCAAGGGAATTTGCATCCGATTAGGTCGTTGAAATTAATTACAGCGAGGAAATTGTCTACTGTAATTCGATCACACTTTCGTCAATTTAACTGCACCACACTTGAGGGCACCAAATAATGGCTCCTACAATTTTTTTTATCTTTGATTGCCATACGGCTTCCTTATCTTTTCAACAATTAGTTCTAGAGCGAAACTGGCCGTATCAATGAACACAACTCTTTCGTTGTGCTGCTTTGCAAGAGGAGACAAGTCTGCATGCGATCATTCACAATAAATCATTACCTTGGCAGCAAACGCCGTAGCCTTGGGCACAGCGTCCGTTGGCGACACCGCCGTGTAAGTTGCATTCCGAGCTGGTCAGACAAACGCCGCTGAAGCCGTTTCTTGACACGCAAGGCTCGTTGGCGAACTCAACCCAGTTGAAGAAACCCCCTGAGAGTGATAGCAAGGGTCGTAAGCATCAAGTGCTGTTATAGTTCTAAAGCGCCTGCGCAGGCTGTGAGTGACAATTCAAGGTACACGTTGATATATACAAGAGCAAAAGGGCGTTAACACGTACACGCCTTCATAGCGGCACAGTTTGGATCTGCACTGGAAACGAGCATTTAAAAAATGTTATGTTTGTGTGCGTGCGTGTAAGTGAAAATATCGCTGTCATGCTCACGTCTTAAAGACGAAGCTTTAGCGTTACCAATTTCCTTCAACATTTTTTAATTAATTGTTAAAATTTAACTTTTCAAAACAGTGATATGAGTATGAAGAACACTGTAGTGGAGATCTTAGGACATTTCGCAAATGCACGACTTAACCTAGGTAATATTCCATGAAAAGAAACACAAACAGCGGTAAACATGACTTTCGACCCAGGCTAACTTCGACATAGGGAAATCTGTGCTTTCAGTTGGCATTACAATAGTGTTAGCTTGATCCTGCTGGCATTATCGCGCCGTTGGTGCTTATTTTTCTGGTCATGCCCGGCACTTCGAAGAAGCACGTGGTGCCAACGCGGCAGCTATAGCAAAAGGACGTCGGCTAAAAGCACTGATTCATCTAGTGATGTTCAAGGCATGTTGGAGTAATACTGGGCCGAATACCTAATTTTCTGCTGTTTGCGCTTGTTTACACGTACTACACGGGCTTCTAGCATTTCGCTTTGATCTAAATGTGGCCGTCGTGGCCGTGATTCAATCCCTCTATTCGAGTCAGCCCTCAGCAGTCGAGTCCTATAAACACTATACCAATACGGCATCTCTCTATCTCTTCCTTTCTTTTGCCACTTTTTGAGAAAAGATTGCACCTGAGTGTTTTCAGCGTACGTAAGGAGCCGCACCTGCCGCCAGATTTTCAACAAGTTGATTTCTTCGTATCGCCAAGACGTGTCGGCGTACACGTGCCAGTCAAGGGTTGAGTCTCTCTGGATTGTTGATTGGAATGTGCCGGAGAGACTTCATTTTTGGACAAAAGCCTGATATGCGTTATCAAACGCTCAAAATGCCCGCCATCGCGCTTCGGCGTCTCACGTTGACGGCGTCTAGAGCTGTATGCTACCATACAACTCCTCGACAGAAACAACTCCCTGCATGATGGTCACCGCTAATGACCTATATAGGGCGGTATAAATTGTTACACCGAAACTTAGCATCGCGACCAGGCACCCTTGGTGCAATCTAACAATGATAATGACACAGAGGTGGGTTCGTTTAAAAGCGCACTATCTCACCCCGTTATCAAGCCTTACAATGACTTGCTAACCGACTAGAGCGTGCTCACTCGACGACCGTGTGCAAGATATCTCTTGGAGATACGAGCGTTACAGGACTGTTCACCGGGCAGAGGTTGTTCATAAATTGGTAACGTAAGTGTGTAACTGCAGGATTAGTTGATCATTCGAACAATTATGAGTGTGGCGCTGGCTTTATAGCCACATCACGATGTCAAGCGAAAAGCATTCCTAAAACTTCTTGTTCTTACGTTCGCAACAACTGAAATACTTGAAATATGAACTGTTTCCATAAGATCAAATGTTTTCAGTTATATAAACAATAAAAAAAACGAATGGACTTACATCTTGGTGAACGGTGCGATGTAATATTTGTACCATCATTATGCTTCTGAACGTTTGCACAGCAGCGCATATTCAACAAATGAAGACAAGCCAGTGATGCATAAAGCTTTCTGAAATATTATACAATATTAGATAAACGTCATAACTGAGGTCCTGCTTTTTCTGTTTCGTGAAGAGAAATTTAGGTGAATACTGATTGCATGATAGCCAAACTGGGTCTCAGCCACCCCATTTGGTTGGAGAACCTCTAGGAGGTATCAACTAGACAGCGATGGTTGACTAGTCGTATGAACTTTGCTGAACAAAATGATCCAAATAAAATAACACTTTAGGAAAATTTGAGAGTTTGCATGGGCGAGAAGCACCTAGAAAATGCAGCTATAAATAAGCTTTCTCGACGTTAGGCATCATTAAAAGGGAAAACCTATCTATTTTCGGTCAATAACATTTGCGACACAAAAAATGTGCCACTAACTTGCGATTTCCGAGAAATGTAAGTTAAATGCGTTCATCAATCAATGCCTAGTGTTGAAAGCGTCTCACGATAATAAATAAAGAAAGTTATATACTCACCGTAACATGAATGCGTCGATAAGCTAAAGAACACGAGATCAGGGAAGTGTTGTACAGCCGAAGACAGACAGGTAACCGTTCTTTCCGCGGCCTTGCGTAGTTCTGCTCTGCGTGTGTTCTTGCGGAGCACCATCAAAGCAGCGAACATCAATGGTGAGAAGAAAACTTGAAAAACTACCCGCACCCACTAGGCTTCCGGTTTCCATAAAGCGGAGTGCGCCTCTACTGCGCGTATATTAGGTGGTCGGACCATGAGAACGGTACATTGCAGCCGTTTACGCCGATCACTTTGTCTATTTAGTGAAGCATTGTGCACTTATTATGAACCTATAAAAGTGTACGCCAAATTCAAAATTTACACATACAAAAGCGCATATTGGCGTTAGTTGTAGTGACCTGCTTCGCCAGTCATTGTATGGAGAGCAATCGTTGAGAATTAGAATGCAAAACAAAGTGAAGGGGTTCAAAAGGAGCCGACGCACACTATTTGCGAAATAGGCGTTGTCGAAATTGACTGACAGGGTGTGCTAAAGAACGAAGGGCGCGCTGCTTGCAATGTCGAGTGCCAGGCCAATACCAAGTGGGCGTGGATTGGCGGTCGCCTACAGATTGATAGCGACTAAGCAGTTTGTGTAGAAGACAATCTGTCCCTTTATCGGTTCATGCCACTTTAACAGTTTGCTCCATCGAGTTAGATCTAGCCTGTGGAGAAGCCAGGGGATGGCCAAATGATGCCTCCCCCCGCTCCAACTTTTCTTTCGCTATGGCATGCACGGCCCAAAATGACACTCGACCACCTACACCTGCACGGCCCCCCATACTAAATCAAGAAAATGCCCCCCACCCGCCAAAAAGAATTCCACCTAAGCGCCTGAATCTAGCACGCGGGCGCTGATAGTATCGTGCCGTATGCTTTAACAAGATTGAAAATAATTTTGGCTAGAGATAAGTCCCTCAATATCGTAAACCATAGTTTCCATGCATTCTACTGCATTGTTTTGGGAGGGGGAGAGTGGTTGAAGAGGGGCTGATTTGTTCGGTCTTATTAGGAAGAGCTTCGTGCGTGGTACTGAGTTGGATTTTAAGTTTAATGTGTTAATGTAAACAGGTAAACTACGATGTTCATCCTGAAGTACATGAAATAAAAGTAGCTGATGTCATTCCGTTTCTAAATACTATGAACATATACACAAAAAAATAAACAAGTTGCAGCCCAGTTCTAGTGAATAATGTGGTATGCGGAGCGCCGTGCGTCAAGGGACAAGACCATTAGCTTAGGCAGTGTATCAAGCAAGAATGCGACCTAAATAAATCTTTAAGATTAGTGTTTTTTTGAGAGAAATGCATGTTTTTTCGCTTCTATTGCTAATATAATTACATGAGGTAACTGAAGCATTTCGTTTGATGATTCTAACTGTGGCTATTTACTTACATTTGCACCAGAATTTTGACGCTTTTTTTTAGTGACAACACCAAAGAAAAAAGTTGTTAAGACGGACCGATGTACCTTAGGTTTTTTCTAACGTTCCCGACGGCGCTTAACTGAAGATCGTTTTCGAGAGAGGAATGGCACGTGGTTCAACTAAGCAGCTTACATATGTTAATATATCAGCTGACCTACGTATATAACTGGCAACACTCATAAAGATACGTGGACAATAGACTCTAATAAGCCTTTACTTACAAATCAACCTCATCCCTATCTCTTGTGTTTCTTATCGATTGGCGCCTTTCGCGTACTTCAGAAACAAATATCAGGCCAGTATTCATAAACAAACCGTACTTACACTTTGTCCTGCCTACTGTTTTACTCATTCAACTCGCTTTAAGCGCGCCGAAACGGTAATCAAAACGAGAGGTAATGATAACGTCGCTTTGCGAATACGTGCCTTAGATTTGTAGTGCAGGCAACAAGCCCTAATTTGACATGTCAAGCAGAATGTTTTAATCCTGTTTCATAGTTATACATAATGGTCTGATACAAATGAACCAGATAGTATTCACTAGTCTTCACCGCGTGGATACAAGATGAGCCAGGTGCCGTACAGTACGTTGTCGAGTATCCACGGCACCAGGGCGTCGAGTCGGGTGTAGACGCCCGGTACTTCCTCGTCCGCGCAGCCTGCGCCGTAGGAGACGATGCCCACTTGAAGAAAGCGGCGGTTGTCGGCTCGTGCTATGGCCGGTCCTCCCGAGTCGCCCTTCGATGCCGCAAACAGAAAGCGGCGAAATAGATTGATTAGAGATATCAAGCAAGCAGAACGTTTTTATTTTTTTTTTGCCTGAGCAGGTCCAGATAACTGTAATGGTAGTTCAGGAATAGTGCAAAGCCGATTACGCGCTTCATATGCAACGCCACCATAATTATTCATAGTCACTAATGTATACTTCATGATGATGTATTGTTGTTTCATTGTGGATGTTTGAGTGCATACAAATATTCATAAAAAAAACGCGTTGCTGAAAACGCGAACCAGACGTTATCAAGCCCAAGCCCCCGCAATGACAGCTAAGGAGCAGGACCAGGAGGAAAACGTTGATTGATTGATTGATTGATTGATTGATCGATAGATAGATTGATTGATCGATTGATATGTGGGGTTTGTTGTCCCAAAAGGAGGAATAGATTGGAAGGTCAAAAAAAGCTCATCTGGTTCGCTATCCCACGTGCTAGAGAATTAAAAAAGGCGTTAAGGGATCACAAGATAGAAAGAGAAAAATAAGTGAGCACAGTAAATATTCGCGCGAGGTTAAACAATACTGCTGCGTCCCATGCAAGTGAAAAAAAAAAAGTTATGTTAGTCCAGGCCTTCACAACTTCATAGCACTGGATGCAGGATTTACGGCGCATCATTTCCTTGAGAAACTCGACACATGACTGACCACATTACTAATGAAAGTATTAATCGGGACGTGGAAGCACCTGTGGTGAGCCCTAGAGCACACGGACAGCCGCTTAAGGCGCATGCCTAGGTGACTACAATTTTATGGACGCAAAATTGCAAAGAGCACTCGTGTGCCTAAACTTAGGTGCACATTAAAGAATTGCTGGTCATTTAAATAAATCCGAAGACCTGCAGTACAGTGTCCTTCATAATCATATTTTGGTTTTGGGAGGTAAACCACGGAAACTATTAAGCATGACTGCTGCGTTTTAAAAGAGAACAATAGGGTAAGCTAGCTGCTGCCTGTATCAATTCTAGTGTCCGGTGTGCGCGAAGAGAGGCCTCGTTTTCTTTAATTACTTTTTGGGGACCTATATTTACTCACATTTCATGGGAATTACTGTTAACACAGGTATACATCTAAATTTCGCCTACACATCAAAAAATCTTTTTCTTTTGATCTCATATGTTAGGTGAATGTCGTGCCACACTGAAATGTGCCCCGTTTTTCGGTTGCAGTATGTGGCACGTCATATTGACGGTGTCGCGATTTGAACGATGCAAAAGCATCTTCAGCCTTGACGTTGAAAAAGAACTTCTGAAATATACTGGCGCGTAAAGATACCGGAATCAATTAAAATTGCTATGTCAAAACACGTGTTCTAGGTGAACGTGTACATTGAATGTAGCAGTTCACGAAGTGCAAAAGCACGCACATGTTTGAATGTATATATGATGTTGGTGTTTACAACGCATATGAAATATGTGACTTAGAGAAGAAAATTTTTAAGGGCTAATTTTCTTTTTATTTGACGCAATCTCGAGGTCATCTACTTACTTCCGACAAAGTATTTAAGCCGTATAAACTTTTGGAGCCCTCCACTACGGCGTCTCTCATAATCATATGGTAGCTCTGTGACGTTTACCTCCACATATCAATCAATCAATCAATCAATCGATCAATCAATCAATCAATCGAATAATCAATTAATAATTCAATAAATATTTCAGACATATTACAGTAAAACGGAAAATCGCTGTTGAAAAGAGAAGCGCGTGATCATTTATGTGTATTTTTGTGTAACTGAACCGTATCACGGATATTTTTTTGTAACTGAACCGTGTCATGTTTTGTAACGGGAACCGTGTCATTTACTCAATTGATATTTGCACGCACCCATTTGACAATGGTATATTGCATCAGTGCTCTAGATGAATCTAGCAAATAACTTACCATAAATACTAATGTCTACCTTCATTACTATACCCGTAACAATTTAATCAACGGATAAATGTGCGAACAGTTTCACATAATACCACCAAGAACCGCATTTATATTCTGGTGAATCGGAATAAAAAAATAGGGTTAATGATCCAGGTAGTTCCTTACCTCGCAGGCATCGGTTGTGTTCTCGTGCGCGCAGAATTGCAGAGTCGTGTTGTAGCCGTTGCTGGCAAACTTTTTCATGCACACCTCGTCCGACAGGACACGCAAACTAGTATAGTAGAGAAGCTTCTGTGAGGGTCCAACTGCAATACACGCACAAAAATATAAGCAAGGATCTCTTTGCGGAAGTTAACCAGTAAAAAGCAAGCGCCGTGAAAAAGATTCCACTAGAACTGCGTAATATGGTGCGGAGAATAGTTAAAAAGCAAATGTTTGTGGAGTCAACATATCGACAAGAGGACTTGTGTTCATCAGATCAGCAACTGGGAAGTTTAGCAAGGTGTTTATTTGTGCCTTGCCTATACCTCCTTCCTTTCTATCACAAACGTCTTGTAATTTTGGCCCTCAATAGCGGACCCGAAGGTCGCAAGATTGAATCCCGGCCATTGCGACCACACCCAAATAAAGAAGAATCGCTATAGACGTCAATGAATTTATATTAAAGTGCACGTTAAAAACACTAGATTGTCCCAATTTACGAAGCACTTCACCACAGCGTCTCTCATAATGATATTGTAGTTTTGGGGCGTGAAACGTCAGCCGTTATACCACTCTTTCGCACCCCCAAACGTGTAGGGTAAAAGGGGTAAAAGGGGTGTAGGGCAAGAGGGTAAAAGGGGTACGGAGACTAGTAATGACTGGTTTTTGCAATCAACGAGGCTTGCCTCTGCTACCTAACAGCCTCCTCGTGATAGTAGGTGCAGGTAGGATGAGTCCTTTATTACATAACTCCTCAGTTTTACAGGTAGATTTAAGATACTGATGACATTGCAGTTTTCAGAAGAACTGCATTGCACTGTTGACGGCAAGTGGCAGTTTCAATTTCACTGTGAGCACGGTCAGAAACTGCGACTGCTCATAGTTGTGTGCCTACAATATTGAATGAAATACATTCGGTATACCAGGTAGACGAGTAGAACCAGACAAGTTCCCGCCTCTCTTCAAAAAGGTCTTTTCTAACCGTGCTTACTAACCGATGATGAAGCGAGAGTAAAAGAGACGGCGATATGTGTCGAAGTATCAGTAGCAGTATGATACTGTTACACTGAACGGCTGTGACTTTAATTTTCAATATTGCTGGCGAAATATGCTGTGATTTGGTTATATTTACGACTCCTTAAGCGTGTTCTCTCCATCCTGTGTAACAAACTTGAGCGAGTATACTATGGTCTTGTGACATAGAGTTAGTGCTTGTAAAGGTATTCACATTGCTTGAGAAGACCCCAGCCAGCCACCCGCACATGCTTGTGAAAAATGTCGACGGGCTCCAGGGAGATGCAAATAGGACGTGTTCTCGTCGTGAACGTGAAGGATCGTTCCACCTGCATTGCGTCATTCAAAATATATTCAAGCATTAGCAACGCCTAAACGAGCTTCACTTCTATCTTAAAAATTGATCGTAAATCGATATAAATAAATACCACTTGCTATACTTCAGCAGAGTGAAACATTTTTTTTTTTACAATGATTAACTTGGAGACGCTCGCTTAGTTCATCACTCGGCTAGCTTCTCCAAGTGTCGGATGCTGACTATGGTATACACAGCGACCATATGAACACATAAATAACACTGACAGTTGCACGTGCACATATAAAAGCAAAAGCTATTCATAAAAATTTGTCAAGGCGTGTTGTCCTGAAAGAACACTAACAGCGCTTTGGTGTTGCGCATTGCCGAAGCACCCCTTTTTTTTATGGGCAAAGGAGGAATAAAGACACATTGTTTGCTTAGTAATTGCATGCTGCTGTTTTAAAGATGTTCTACTACTCATGATTGTGCAGCCGATTTCTCGCTCGATTTTCAACGCTGCAGCTAAATATATATGAATCTGAACAAAGCATACGCCTGCCACTCTCATGAACGTCAGGCATTACACCTGTTGCGGTACAAGACATATACCGGGTTGTTATCAGCCCTCTCAATGCTAGTGACAGCGGCTTAGAATCAGGTCACGATAAATAATTAGTTACACTGGCTCTAGAAAGATGAAATTCAAAGTAAAATATACTATACCGTAATGTCCCTATGGTTATGACAGCTCCACAAAGATGAAATTCAAAGTAAAAGATAGTAAACCTTAATACCCCTATGGTCATGACAGCTGGTCACGAATGGCTATCACCTTTCAAAATAGCCGTCTTACCCTTAGCAGGGCGATGTCGTTCACAAAGGTGGTTTCGTCGAAGTCTGGGTGCACTTTCATTCGGTCCACTCTCCAGAACTCGCCGTCAACTTTTCCGTACTGTTGTAGTATGCCAGTATTCGGGTGGGATACGTGTCATTACTGCGTGCAGAATGGTAACACAGCCATTAAATTGTGTTTTCTTTCCTATGATGGTAAAGTTAGCTTCTTCAGGATTATTGGACATTAGAAAAGATAATATGCAGAATGTACTTAGAGTAAGCGAGAAGCAATCACGAGTTTGAGTGCAACGGCACGAGTTGCAAATAAAAAGAAAGTGTTTACGCGATAACGTGGGCAGGGGTCCGCGTATTGTAGCAATAGCTACGATTTGGCAGCGGCAACAGTGACGGGTAGCCCTCGTTATCAATGCAATCGCCAGGTTCGGAGAGGTGAATGACAATACTTTTTGAAAGAAAGATGCGTACGTTTAGGGGCTCGTTTTTTTTTTGTTAGACACATTGTAATATACAGAATATCTCATTAAGACTACCTGAAAAATTTGTGGGGCATAACTACACAGAAACATAAAGGTATAAACGAGAATAGCGTTGTTCCAGGTACTTTGCTACTGTTGTGTTTGGCGCTACAAACTTTATTTCAAGAGGTGAAGAATGAACTAGGCAAATAAAACGTTTCGATAAGACAAGGCTAACATATATCTACAGTATAACGACTGATTCGGTTGTTTTTCTGAATAAGTTGTTTAGTGAGGCCCTTGTGGAGTCTATAATGAGAGAAGCATCATATATAATTTCAAAAGCACCCTGACGGGAAGGATGTAGCGCAGCAAAAGTGCGTGTAATATACACTGACTGTGATGTGTTTCTGAAGGTTCTCCCTCCACAAAAATAAAAACATGCGAGTCAAACTGAGGCAGGGAAGATTATAATGAAGCATTTCCGATATTTCTCTCACACAAAGTTTCACTTGACATCTATTTTTTTGAAAAACATGATTATTAATATACTATATTAGCGTATGTTCAAGAACACCTTATGGTCAAAATTTCCGGAGCCCTGCACTGCGGCATCGCTCCTAATGGTATCGCGGGTTTGAGACGTAAAATTTGAGACATTGTTATTGTTAATATTATTATTATTATTATTATTAATATTATGTTTGTAGAGAAAACATTAGACAAATTAGATAAGCTCCACTCACTGCTTGATACAATGGGCAGCTGTGAGGATGTTCCTTTGTGTTAGAATAGTACCGGAACAGGTCGAGTAGTTTCCATTGGTCTTTATTACCAAAAACACCTGTGAAAATAGATATGCTTAAAGAATTATTGGGTCCGCACACGTGGATTATCGAAAGTTGATTTCAGTGCCTGTCGACTTGCCGGCCACCTACGTTCTAGGTTATACCAATGAACTAGGACTAGACTGCGATGTAAAGCGAGCTTTATTTTCCACTATCACAGTTCACGGGCAACGCTAAACAAACTAATAGTGCTCACTGAACGACAATGATATGCGCAAAAAAGAATAATATCGCCACAGCATGACGTAATACTGAGCTTGAAGACACAGCAGACAACTGTAAAATACAACGATGCATGTGGAAGTGGTGCCTTTTTCCGTTTTGTGCTTTGTGTGTGTGGGTGTGTGTGTCTGCGTGTGCGCACGCGCGCGTGTGCGTTTGCTTTTTTGCGTAATCTTTCCTTGAACCAACCATCGCCTAAATGTCCGTTACCATGTCACAAAGTACAAATATTACAAGCATGGTTCCAACCCTGCAAAAAACTAAACGCGAATGCCCTTGGTGTTTGCTTTGCCGCAAATGCTTACTGGTAGCAGCATTTTCAATATATCACTTTGTTAACCTAAAAATATAAAACTTGTATCTACGAACTATGAAAATGAGTACTTCATTTACTTCTTCGGTTTTTCTAAGGAACTACGGTGGTTTCTACCAGGGGTTGGTAACCTACAGTCCGCAGTGCAGTATTAGCCGACCTCCGGCCCGACATCAACACCACACTCTCTCCCGTTTTCACCTCTTATGTGAAGGCCGACATGGCCATTTCACCGCAAATGTGGCTACAGAGGAACAAAAAAAAATATTTCTTCCAGTTGGCATTGCCACCTCTCAAACACTGACACTTAGCCAGATAATATCTTCGATTCCCTCTCTTTGCACAGGCCTAAAAAAGGACACGAAAATTCTTTGTTGTAATATTAGGTCCAGGAAGGACCTTCGTCAGGGAAAAAACCTCCAGGGCCATGCGGAACGTGCAGCACAGTAACAGCGAAAGCTGTAACAGCGGCCTTTCAGAACCTCTTCTAAACACTCGTTCGGTAACTGCAATAAGTAGACTTGCTGGGCACCCACTATGCCACAAATAATCAAAACCTTGTGTAGTAGGCAAGCATTCTGTTTGTTTATTTTTTCTCGAAGATATTGCCCACTCCTACTCTGGGGAATACTCTAATTCTATCCTTCGTCATTTTTCGAAGAAGCGTAGTATCCGCTGCAAATTTTCAAGGAATATCGAGCAAACTGTTTTTTATACAGTGGCTTGCGGATGAAGATAAATAATTAAATCTGAAAGTCGTATGTGCGCCACAGTTAGAATGTCATCAAGAACAGGATTTTGTATAGAGTTGGGATTAGTCCACTTTCTGTTGCCTGTGATTGCCTTTATTGCCGTTGTCTTTGTTTTTCCAGGATTTTTACTGGACACAAAACATAAATGTTATTTAAATAAATCTCACAAAACAAAACTTACCATCCATGGTAGCTGACTACGTGCAGCGAGAAGGCCATTTACAATCCTTGCTGTCGGGCCAGCTTTACCGCACTCTATTTCGAACAGCCATAAGACGGGTGAGGACGGGAAAAAGAACGGCCAAAATAAACCACAAGTAAATTAGTTGAACTTCACATACTGCGACACCCGAGTAGGATACCACAGGTGACATCTTCTAAGAAGGACCGACAATAGAAATATGAAAGAATGTTTTCTACAATCTTGATCAATTCTACAATAATAAAATTTGCCCACCAATTAAATAACTAAATTTACGAAGTCCCACACTGAGTGCTCAATTAGTTTTTCATATCATTTGGAACTTTGAACTCGATGCTGATCGATTGATTGATTAATATGTGGGGTTAACGTCCCGAAACCACCATATAATTATGAGAAACGCCGTAGTGGAGGGCTCCGGAAAATTTGACCACATGAGGTTCTTTAACGTGCATCGAAATACGAGCACACGGGCGCACAGCATTTTTGCCTCCATCGAAAATGCAGTCGCCACAACCGGCATTCCATCCCGCGACCTGTGGACTATCTTGCGTTTTTGTTGTGATTTCTTCATATTTATTATGACAATACAATTTCCGCTATTCAGAACTTCAAGCCCAAAACACATGATTCCTTAAAATAGAGCAGTTTAGACGTTGCATGTGACATCATCCATTTTGAAGTAGTCCAGCGAATAAAGTTAGTTACAAATACACCGCCGAAGCATTTACAGCTAGGATAACACACATTTTAGTTGCACTGCCGAACGGTTGAAATACTATTGCGAGAAGCGTGAAAATGCAAGATGTCACGGAAAAGAAAAAAAACAAGGAAAAAGAAACGCAAAATCAAATTCCCGTGCATTGCAAAACGATCGTCAAAGGTACGAGAAATATAGTATGATCTGTAACTCACCATCAGAATTTATTGAGAGTTCACCATTAGGAAACTGAAAGCCGATGCGTGTGTCTATTACTCCACGAAGAAGACGCACGCTCCACTACTTGTGGCTAGAATTCAAGGTATCACTGAATACCTCATTAATGATTGAGAACAATTCGGAATGTCAGTACAGTCAATCTCACTCACCTTCGATGAGTGGAATGACACCACAAAGTAGAGCATCATTGGCCAATATAAATGAGCATTCGCAAGATAATGCGAAGCCCCGTATATCTTCATGTCTGGCAGCTGTCTACTCAGCAGTCATCGATGTGAACATCTTTCCCAATACTCTTGCCAGATTCTAAAAATACAAGCAGGCGAAAAGGTGTTGCTGCGGCGCTAAATAAAACTGTTTATATCACATCACAGCTGCCACGGCTTTCTTAGGCCGAGTTATAAAAGCCGCCATAAAAATAAAGACACCTGTGGTCGTGCCGCTGAGTGCGTTTAACGAGACTTTTTAAAGTCGGTTTTCGCGACCAAATTGTCTAAATGCAGAACAATCATCATAGCTCTTTGGCTGCTCTTTTCCTGCCTGAACAAGGGCCGAATCCAAATAAGCTGTGGTAGTGAGCGCCACGTCACTTGAATGTTCCTCCGGAACCGCACCTGATGCCTTAAAATAAAGCATGACATAAACGTAGCACGTACTTATACAAAGCGAATAACAAACCTACGAGTCAGCTTAAACTAAAAAAATAAAGTAAAACCTTGGTGATACACTTGCGGCTCATACAAATTTCGGTATGGTAAGAATTTTTCTGTGGTCCAAGACAAGGCCCATTAGCCTGCAATGTAATGGAGTATGGTTGGTGCGAACCGATTTTCTTCCAGTGACGTTTGATACGAACGCACGCTATACCAGTGCTGTCGCGGAAAACGTGGCAGTCACGCATGTGCACGAAACCCAAGCGCGGGAACACAATGCCACGCCGCCAGCTAATTATCGGAGCGTCGCAGCCTCCGAGACAGCGCGCCACTAACACGGGAGGCGCTTAATATGCCTTGTTGTGTATTTCCGTTTATTTTACTAATGACGTTGGCGTCCATTTTTGTTAGGCAAGATAATAAAATGTGGTCTATAATTACGTTGTAAAGTGCAGTTTATAACTCGACCTTGACTCGGGCATCCAACCTTGATCATTATCTACTTGTCATCGGCCCGTCCCCCAGTGTACACCCAGTGTATGTCCATCCCCCACCGTTCATCTATCATCCGTCCAATACTTCCACCATCCACCCATCATGTGCCCATCATTACCAAGATGGTGGGTGCTGAGTCCTATCATGCGCACAATTCGGCAAATTTTTAATAGAGTTATTGGAAAATGAGGGCAGCTTTCATAATCTGTCGCCCCGCCTTTTCAAAAGGATAATCCTGTAATGTTTTAATTTTATTCTTGCTTAGGATGCACATTACCTTATTGGCAGAAGAAAATACACTAATATTTACAGAAGCTAAAAATGTTTTATTGTTATTTCCGAAAAACCATGTTATAATCAGAAAGTATCGTAAATATAAATTGTTCTAACACGCGTGATTCTGTCCTGTTCGGCCGAGGACTCCATAGATGTGGATACGAGTGGCTCAGAAGTCTTCACTTGGGGAGCACGACTGGCGATGGAAGAAATAAGGTACGCCAGGGCTCCCAGGACAACAATCAACAGGAGTGCTCGGAAGGTGAACAAGCGTTTGTACGCGCCGTAGAAATTGCCTCGGTGCAGCGTGAAGTACATGACCATGAAGCCTTGTTGGAGTTCCTACAGTTACCTGCAAGGCACAGAAATGTTTACAACGTAGATACATAAAAAAACAAAAATATGATTTCACGACGTTACAATACTGCAGTAAGCCTGTTGTAGTGTATAAGAAAAAAATACTTATAATAGTTACTTTGTAGTACACAAAGGGGGGATAGGCACGTGTGGGCCTCTGGCTGTTAGGCTGTACACAGGTCACCATGGTCGCCTCAGTGCCAGCGTTCCTTCGTACAGCGTGGTGACGAAATACGGTGGCGTCACGCAATGCGATAGCTTCACTGTCTGAAGCAATATGGCGGCGGCGAGATCAGTAGGTGTAGTCACCCTGTGCAAACAGACAATGGCAATGCTCTGTGGAGTGCCAGCGCTTGTAGCGTGGCCATGCACGTAGGGACGAGATGAACAGGAGCTCGTGGTGGGTGCTTCACATGGTCTGCTACGACGATGTAGCGCGTTGCTTTTGCTTCGCTTTAGTACAGAAACTGATAATAGACATGACACATTCTGAGCAATATCGTTGGTGTACACTAGAAACAGTAAAGGTCCCAACACAGATACCCGTGGAACTCTCGAAGTAACAGCTACATATTCAGATTGGGAACCAGTACTTTCGATACGTTGCATACGGTATTGTAGATAACACCTGATCTAATCAAGCAATGCAGGAGTAATACTGAGGAATGAGAGTTTATGCAGCAGCAGAACATGGGGCACAGAATCAAGTGATTTCTGGAAGTCCAGGAATATGCAGCCCGTCTGCACCCCAAGGTCAAGTGAGCAAAAAAGATCATGACAGAACTCGACGAGCCGTGTTGAGCAAGAAATACCAGACCGAAATCCATGCTGCCATTCGGTAAAAAAAATTCCTACTTTCTTGATGCTTCATTACGACGCTGTAGACTATGTGCTCCGTTGTTTTGCTGCACATGCTCGTTAGAGAAAGCGGCTTGTAGTTAGAGACAATATTTTTGGGCCACCCTTATGTATCGAAACCAGATTAGCGACTTTCCATTCACTAGGTAAACAAGAAGTACGCAATGATTTCTCAAAAATTAAAACAATGTGGTGGGCAATTATATCCCAGCAAGCCTTTAACACGTAAGACAGTACACTGTCAGGGCCGTTTGCAGGAGAAGCCTTTATTCTGTCAAGTAACTTAAGTATACTACCATGTGTTACCACCAGCTCTGGCATTGTTTCAATGACATTGTCAGGAATACACGGTACATCACTGGGACAAGGGGTGCGTGAAAGAAGCTTGAAAATAGCAATTGAAAGCAGAAGCTTTATTGGTGTCCATCAATTAAAAATACACCGCCTTCGTTTATGCTCGGGATGCCTATTGATTCTTTGCTGATTGATTTAAACACTTCCACATTTTTCCGGGTTAATTTGTAACTTTGGGCCCAATGTTAGGAAATATTTTTCCTTTCTGATCATGTTATTCGCTTTTATATATTTTCTAAGTGACTTGAGCCCCAAAATTACACCAGGATTGCGTTGCTTTCAATAAGCATTCAAAAAACGATGTCTCTTGATTGTTCATTCGCTTGACTTCAGGAGTAACCCAAGGCGTTGTTTGGCAATAAAATGTTTACTTGGAACATCTACTATCTGCTTTAGTGTGAAGCAAAATTTATCGCACAGGGCGTTTCAATCTGCGGACTGAGCTAAATGATTGAATTCTCGCAGAAAAGTGGCAAGCTCATTCGATAATGAAGCATTTATTTCTTCACCAGAAAGACATATCTTCCTTGGCCGATCATGCGCACAAGAAAAGGGGACTATCATAACGTAGGCCACAATACAGTCACGGTCACTAATCTCAGGATTAACGCGTTATCATGCACGACTGATTAATATGTTGCTGTTACTTTGGAAGCTCCACGGGGATCTGTGTTGGGACCTTTGCTGTTCCTAGTGTATGTAAATCAATGATATTGCTCAGAATGTGTCATGCAAAATACGTCTGTATGCAGATTATTGTGTGATTGTTCAGCGAACTGGGAGCGCAGGAGTAACACAGACACGAAGCAAAGAGGAGGCACACAGCATGAGCGCTCAACTAGCCCACCTTTCCATGCTATTGCGATCATTGTGTGGTTTACCACTGTATTAGATTCACCTACCACCATCACTACTTTCAACGCGATTTAGACAGTATTATGTGCTGGCGTGATAAGTGGCGTACGAGTCTGAACCCTAGGAAGGGGCAGTGCGTCTCCTTCACTCGTTAACGCGACCCATACCTGTTTAATTATACATTAGATGCCATCCAGCTAACGCGATCAACTAAGTATAAATACCTTGGTGTTCACTTTTCATCAAATCTTAGCTGGACTAAGCACGTTGAATGTGTCACAGCGAAATCTTGCAGAATGTTAAACTTTGCTAAACGGTACCTCCTGTTAGCTCCTCTTAAAATCAGAGAACTAGTCTCCTTTTCCAATGTCCGACCTATCTTAGAGTACGCCTGTGTGGTGTGGGACCCACAAACAAAAACTGTCTAATATGCTCGAGATCGTACAAAACCGCGCAGCTCGTTTTGTGACTAGGAACAATGACTTCAGGGTCAGTGTCACTGCGCTTAAGGATAGGTTAGCGTGGGATTTGTTGGTATCACGTAGAAAAAAACTTGAGATTAGAAATGATATTCAAAATATTGAATGGGCTGTTCAAAATAGATAGAGAACCTTACCTTTCACCTTCACAACTTTTATCTAAGAGAACTGACCACCCTCTAAAATTAGGATAAATTTTTTCCAGAACAGACATTTACCGATACTCCTTTTTTCCGCTCACAATCTCCCAGTGAAATCGGCTTCCCCGGGAGATTGCAGACTGCCGCACTAAAGCATCTTTCAGGGACATATTGCTACTGTCATAGATGCAATATTGTGAAGCTCTGCTTTGTGTGTTCATCTTGTTTTTGAATAGTTCTTTTATGTAAGCGTGTGTTACGCTGTGTACTCCTTCTACTGAAATAATGCCCTCAGACACTGCAGGTATTTTCTAATAAATAAAATGAATAACGGTCCCCCCCCCCCCCTGTGCTCATGCGTGGCTTCGTTTTTATGCGCGTCTGCACCAAATTCACTGGAGCTCCATGGAGTGCTGTCGCGGATATCTTTGTTCCCCCGAAGAGTGGAAGACTGTGTATACAGCGCGCACACGGGTGCGTGCCCCGAAAAGACTCCCACAAAATTAAGTCGCACAAGAAAGGCAGAGTCTAGCCGAAGGTGTGCGCAGCGCCATTTTGAACCGGCCATAGCAGCACAGGAAGTCAATTCTCGGGAGACGGGAAGTGAATAGGGGGCCTGTCTTACATTGCTCTTAATCATGTTCAAGGGTAACTAGGCTGGCATGCCACTCAGAAGGCCATAATGGTAATTGCATATGAATTGATTTGAGAGACACTTGGTGGCCTAGTTTTCATTTGCATGAGTGGCGGCTTTCGATCTTCAGGACAGACGTACCATGGTGGGCTTACGCAGGCAGTTTTTCTTTCTTTTCGCTTTCATTTGCGATAGACACACGTTTCGCATTAAGAAATTTTTGATTCGAATCTCCCCTTCTCACACAAGGTTCATGTCAACCAGGATGTAGCGGGAATGAAAAAGTTACGTTTATACCACGTGAATAAAATTACGTTACCATGAGTGGCTCTTGTGTTTTCTTTTTACTTTTGCTCTGAGACGAACCCCAACGAACTACAAAAATCAAGATCGCTTGTATTTCCATCCTCTCCCTCTGTCTTTTGTCTGCGCTTAAACGTTCTGTTTTAAGAGATCTGATCAATCAGATTCCATATCTTTTTCTGAGAATCGCTTGGGTCCCTCAAAGCAGCTACAGTTCGGCGTTGGCATAGCTCGTCATTGGTACACTATAACGCTTTTAAAGATTACTTGCATTAGATCAAGTAATTAGTGTATTCTGGTGTCAGTCTGAGTGTCAAACACTTGCACGCCATGCCCATCGGCATTCATGGTTACGAGTAATACCAGTACCATGTGGTGTTTATTTAATTCCTCAAACAAATTTGTGAAAGTTTAAGATATCTTTAGTGGTAGCTATGCAAATAAACTTAATCAATACATGTATAAAACCTACTTTGCACATTTCCTATTTAAGATTCATATAGTTTAGTTTATTCTGCTGTACCACCGGTCATGGCTGTACACTGGGCAAGTATTGTAAGATGGAGAACTAGAGTACATACCTGCTCATTAGCTGCATCTTGTAAGCACCGTGGGTAGCATTGTTTAACGAAAAGAGTGGTAATCACTGTGTCTTGTACAAACGCTTGTGTTTTCGAGCTGTGCAGCAAAACAGTGGGGAAACTGAGTCACTGTAGAGCAACGTGACAACATTCACCTATGCTCGCGCCCGTGGTGCTCCTTCTCAAACCTACAATTTCCCCTTGCATCCGTCTTCTCCCCCACACGCTGAGCTCTCTTGAAGGGGAGCGTAATACTGAATTTCGTGTACACAGACTTGCGGCCATTTATGTGACAAGAGCGTATCTGTTCGCACAATTGTATGTTTAGGCTTACTTCGTGAAAGCATAGAATGAACAGCATCTGGTTGTTGTGAACGCCACAGTATAGCAATTGCAAGCGTATGCTTTTCAAATAGCGCTTGGCTAAACTATTTCCAGTCGTAAAAAGTAGATAAAAGCAGCATTTTGCGAGCGCTATACAAAGAGGGAAATGATGCAGCAGAGGGATTTTTTTTGTATGGTGGAAGCTTTGCTCCTAAAACGAGTAGGAGAGCACTCTTCAACGACTCAAATTTTTTTTAAATACCGCAGTGTTTTGTGGCAACTCTGTTTTTTGTGTTGAAAAGCGATGCTGAGTTCAGAACTATGACTCTTTTGAAATGTCATCAAGAATGATAATACGCTCACCCACCAAATTGCTTTTTCCGCAAAATATAGAAGTAGAGGGTCCACTTCCCCTTCATAAAAAAACTGAGTGCAAAATAACGTTCGATTTTAAAATTGGCTTTAGAATTTGTCAACTATCAAGCCCGGCCGTGGTCAGAGACCACCATTTAGCCATGACACGTGCGTCGTCATGTGCTTCGTGAACTTGAGCCGATGTGCCCCACTAGGCTTGAGCACCTGCACATTGTTCACTTCTTGAAGCCAAGCTGAGGCATGCGGAAATAGGTCCATAGTACGCTTAGCTGACCACGAAACAGTCGTTGACTGAAACACAGACGTTTTCAGAACGAGCGGCTGGTTACGCCATCACTTGCAAGTGTGCTTGGTATTATCAAATTTTGTGGCTAACCCCGTACTTATAAAATTATTGATTTTAAACTAAGTGTACGACTAAATGTGCTCACATTTCCCCAGCTTGCTTGTGTGCATCCAAGCATTACGCAGCATAACAGACATTATCATTGTAATGTGAGTGGTTCAGTTATTCAAAGCGTTTGACTGCTTTTTGTCCGAACCGAAAAATAGCTGCGAGGGTTTCACACGTTTACCTATATACTAACAGTTTCTAATAACCTTTTGTATGAACCATAATGATCTACACCGTCATTAACGAGCACCACATTCGCTCATAACAACGTGTGGTTACAAAGTGTGTGTTCGGATATCCAGATGCTATCATTGCCGCACTGTCAGCGTCAAGTGAAACCCGAACAGCGGCAAGCCTTCACGATAGCATAGCGCGTGCCGCCCAGTTATCTCGACTGACAGGCGTGCGCACCTTTTTTGGCAGTTCTGCGCATACATGCATGCCTGTTCGTGGCGATAAGGGCACGGTGCGTGCTATGCCATCACGAAGGCTTGCGGCTGTTCGTGTTTCATTTCACGCAGGTAGTACAAATGTGTGTGCACTTCCACTACACCTATATATGAACAGATCAGGTTTTTAGAAATGTAAAGTGGACCTGAATTAATTAAGTGCAATTGACATCACTCTAAGCTCCGCAGAATTTGTCAATTATTACCATCATTAACATTTAAATGTCGGTCACAACATTCGCTTTCCAAGCTTCGAAAAAAAAAAGAACCTAGACCAACGAATGCCGATCGAACTTTAGGTGACTTCAAGTTCACGTCTTAAATGCGCAATATGGATGTGTAAAACGTATAGTCGGGCCCCGTCCAGATAAACGAATCGCGGTAGCCAATGCCCTCCCTGACTAAATAAAAAAATAGTCCCACTCACGAACAAGGCCATGTTCTCTGGAGGCATGTCCACAGGTCATCCGGTACACGACATCTGTTCGAACCGCGAAGCCATTGGAGCAGGCTTGTGTGCACCTGCTTTGAAGAAGGAAATGTCGTTGTCTTCCAAATATGTCAAAGTAGAAGTCATTTTAAATCTATGGCTAATTATTTAACGAAAGAATGGAGATCAAACGATAACGTGACTGTCAAATTAAGATTATTAGAGGTTTTTTACAGTTGACTAACATGAGGTATAGGACTAACATGAGGACTAACATGAGGTTGCACTATGCGGCTGACGTGAATAAGCCATGCAGATCAGTAGGGTTGAGAGCTGGGCTAGTTGGTGATATATTATTTTAACATATGGTGTAGTAGCGCAAATTCTACGGAGACAAAGAGGAAAACAAAGCACGACATTTGCTACACTCGCGATTAATTTTATTTCAGAAAAAGCACTTCCTATATAACCCTAAATCCCTATAGTGACACAGAAAAGGTCTACGAACATGGAATCATTTCCAAGAAGAAAAAAAAACCCTTTTAATGTGATAGTATACAGGCAGACAAGCTTCCACACTTTTACATAATATAACAAAGACCATGCAGATTTCCTTACCAACACTGGCGTGGATTTACACTTGCCTGAAACAGAAATTTAAACAAAAAGAAAGACTACTCAACAACATACAAACACCCAGTTATTATAGCACACGTCAGTTATGCTTAAACACTTTTGGGTGAAACAAGGTATGACAGAACTGAGTATTATCGAACAAAAATAATTTTTGGCGGAAACTTACTCGTGCCCGAATCAGAATTGGAAACAACATGAAAGACAATGTGACACATGGAAACGCTAACCTCAATTGAATTCCTTCGAGGAAGCTGGCTTCTCGGTTTCTTAACGACACTGATGAAAAGCGACGTTTACGTGTCACAGTTTTGAAACTTACCGTGTCAGGCAACGAAGCAAGCGTGATGGGAAGCGCATGAGATTCGTGCACACCGGGTGGTCCAATACACACTGTCCCTCATATTCTGGAACGTCCCTTCACTTAACGCTTCAGCCTTCACTTGAGAAAGCCGATGAGAGCGCCTTCTATAGACACGGCAAGTCACTGCTTATCTGCGATATTCTGCTGCAATTCTTGAGTAGCACAGCGTCATTTCAGCCGGGCAGTGGTGCAGTGTTCAACCCTATCAAGTGAAGGGTGAAAGTGGAGTCGAGGAGCGTTTGTGAATACGGGGATGTGTCTCCCGTATTCGTGAAGCTGAGCACGCCTGCAAGGTACGAAGCTGCCCAACACAGCCGAGTGCGAGACTGAAGCAACGAAAGTGCTCACACTTTTGGTGAATCAACTTAAGAATTAGACGCCGTGGGTGAAAAAAGCAACAGCCGGTTTTCGGAGCCACGCCGTAGACAAGACATGATACGCTCTTATCAAAAGTGGCATACGAGTGATGGCATCCACACGACAGTGTGAGCGTAGTGTCTTCACGCCGTAAGCGCATCATTAAGGGAGGTATACTGCAAGGCGCCTTGAATTTCGATCTACTTTTTAAGGCGCTGAACGGGCTACTTGTGCCTACAGTATAGGTACCGTTCAGTCGTGTTTTCCAATCTGACTGCAGCGCTAAAATATTTTTATTTGTTTATTTATTTACAGGATTTCTGCTGGTTTCAAAGTGAAAGTCATAAGCAGGAGTGGGTAACATATAAATACAGCACGCTGAACATTTTTACAATATATGACGCACAGAGAATGTCGCGGACACACAGGTTTTAACGCGGTAAAAAGAAAAATATACAGTGCATGACATGCAATTGCGCATAGCATAATACCTATATAAGCGCGTACTAACATCACTTGTGTACTAACAGCGCAACATCACAAAACAAAGATTACAAATATGGCAGGAAGACATGCTATAAGTTTTTTAGCTCCGATAAGAATGACGCCACTGTTGCCGCCTCCACAATCTCACCAGAAAGGCGATTCCACTCGCGTGGGAAAAAGAGCCCATGTACAAGTTCGTTCTGCAAGAAAATTCCTGTAATTTTTTTGAGTGATCCGTCCGCTTGGGTCGTCGCACAACTTTTTCTATATATGCACTTGAATCAATGCCAAGCTTATCGTGGTAGAGCAGATACATATATTTTAGTCTTTCGTGATATCGCCGCAAATGTAATGCTTAAGTTCGCTGTCTGAAGCAAAGCAGTGACTGACGTAAGGCGATTGTATGAGCGAAAGATAAATCGAGCAGATTTTCTGTGTAGGTTTTCTAGTTTATCAATATTTTTCTTTGTGTATGGGTCCAAGACCACGCAGGCATATTCCAAAAGGGGACGAATGTAGCTTTTATATGCTAATAGTTTTATTTCTTGCGTTGACTGTCGTAACGATCTTCTAAGATATCCAAGCTTTCCCATGGCTTTCTTTTCTAGAAAAGTGATATGTTCATTCCACCGGAGGTCTGAAGTGATTATTAAACCTAAGTATTTATAACAATTTACAGCCCTAAGGCAGCGACCATTTATGAATACAGGAAAGTAAGTGGTGCCTTCTTTCTTGAAATTGTCATTGAGACGGTTTTTGTAGTATTGATGCACATCTGCATCAATGCTACAAAAAACCTAGCGGAATTTAGCCTAGCGGATAAAAAAAGAAACCTTGAGATGGCGTTCGTGAAAATGCATCTGTCAGTGGATGGTACCCGGGATACATTGGGCACGCGAGCAGGCGTCTCTTTTCTGCGTGCCTCTAACAGTGAATGTCAGAAACTTTGAGACGGAAAAGTGTGAGCAACGCAGCTCCCTCTGGTCAGCGTGCGGTGCCTATAGCGGAGCCTGGCGAATATTAAGCTGCTCATGAGGCCCGCCGAACGGGACGCGTCATTGTTGCCAGCATTTCGTTCTTTCTGAGGGGCAGAAGTTGGCACGTGTTGCGGCACAGTATGTAGTTGGAAGACTGCCCGAAGTGATGAATGATAACGACTCTCGATGCAAATGCTACATTCACCTTAATTTTTTTTTTAGCTTCAGGCTTTCCCGTACTGGCAGCTTCAGCATTCTTTGTATATGCCTACAGTCCAGTGGTATTCTATGAGGCGAGTGTCGACGAAAAACCTCAAAAGCGCCACAGCCTATGTATTTATTTTGTTTTTATTTGTTTTTATTTTCGCTTCAGGAAACCTACAGTAATGGTACCGCCTGCATTGTATCCTTTGGCATAACCAGGCAGTGAATGCTCTGAAACTTTTTTTTTTTTCAATATAGTCCACAAAGGTGAGAGCTAACCAAATCTACGCTTCATGGGGGCAAATGAAAACCCAAAAGTAAGAGAAACGCTGGCGAGTTAGTCGCGAGGTTGACTGTTGTAGCGTTTAAAAGCCAACGAGGCGAGAACGGAAATCTTCATTTTTCAATATTTTCCCAAATGGCCTCTAGAGCTTTGGGACGCTGGGCCGATCGACGCCCGCGCAATAACCTTCACATTACTCTGTTCTGCGTGTTACAAAAAAAGAGGTAATCAGGTTTATTGCGTGATTTCTGTCGAACGTATGCCGTGCTAACACTGTCGCTCGTCATTCGTGCAACAGAGTCCCATTTGTCGCCTTCCTCAGAGCGAAGCTCTTGGGATCGCCGAATGTCGCGACTACCACGGAAGGCGATCACGTAAGCAAACACCAGGATTATGGCGACCAGCACGAAAGCGACAAAGCCGAAGGAGCCCAGTGATGGGCCGAGGGCGGAGCGCAGTCGCCGGTTGAATGACGACGACGTGGCATCCCTGGATTCCTGCCTCTTCTTTTTCGTCTTGCACTTCGCGCTTTTGGCACCTGCGTGACAGATGGTGAATGAATGCTTATGAAGGCTTATTAGTAAACATTATTTATGAATATTGTTTATTAGACATTCAACAATATTAGGACTTGGGAAGACTGTAGAACATTCCTCGAACGAGAACATTCATTGTCGGCATTCCCAACGCGAAGAATGCAAAAAAACTGTTGTGATCACGTGATAACAGCATATGACATTATCTGTGACATCATCATGAAATGATCGACTATGATGTTATCAGCTACTTACGCTTAGTCAAAATCGTATTATCTTAGGCGAATACGTAAGATACCGTGTAAGTTTTGTTATTTACTGTGGTTCTGAAAGCAGTGCCCTAGTGCAGCCACGGTTATACTCTGGACCCTGCACTGACTTGGAAAGATAAAGAATGGTTGGCTCATCCGAAAATGAGATTAGCTACGGGCAAATCACCTTGCTCGGAGTTGATACCACCATCAATATTAAATTGAGTATAGTGCACGTTCTTAAGGGCACACCCAAACCCAACATGCACGCCCAATTTCAACACCCAACACTGTGCAGCGGTGCACATGCCCGCCATGTGTCTAGTAAATGTATTGAATAAAACTCGGGTTGTGCCTAGCTTACCTGACCGCAATACAACGTATGTCTTGAGTGTTTGCAGGCCGAATACTTACCATGATTATCGTGCGCGTGAGTGAAGTAGAGGAGTCTGACGCCATTGTAAATCCTATGTGTGTGTGACAAGATCAATTAAACCGACAAGCTAGAGCAATGAAAAGCATAGATAGCATAACTTGTAGTTTTTAGTGTTGTATAGGGATTGTGAACTGGAATTGGGAATAAATGAAGCATATCAAAAAAAGCCCATTTTCGTAAAAGAGATCAAAACCCACAAAATCCGATCTTGGCGCGTTATGTGTGCGGTCGTATTTGCAAGTTCAGCACACTTGCGTGCTAACTGCAGACGTTCCGGTAATGGAACCCCCCTTCTTCCTGGTAGTGCCTTTGAGGCAGGTCTACGTTACGAAGCCACTTCATATTCTTGCGCGCAGACGTGAGCAAAGCGTTCTCATTTATGGGGCAAAGCTTCATTGCGAAAGCCACCTCTGTTGTACGTAAATACAGCGAGATTCGTCATGTACGCAAAAGATGGAGATGAAGCAATGAAGTGCTTCTCACAACAGTCTGCTATGGTTTGCCTACTTCCAGAGATGAAGGTAAGAGAAAAGCAGATCTTCCAATGCAACGTAAGGAGTCCTTGTTTATCCTCAAAACACATGCATATCCATCACCTCACTCAATGAAGCAAAAAAAAAACGCGATAGATTCGGCTGAGTAAATGTATACGACACAAGAGCAGCCCCTTTTAGATGATTAAAGCAGAGGGCTACCCTATTTCCCCCTTCCTTTCGGACGCCCACATATATACGTTTTTACAAGTGGTCAAGTTACATTCAAGGCGGTATTCTCCAAGCGCAGTGCCGCTGGTGGGATACACCATCCAAATGATATACTGGAATATACCTTTCCGTCGGCTCAATCTTAGGCGGCTGAGCTTGACGCTGAGCCAGCTGCTTCTAGAAGACGGCTTGACTTCCTGAGTCGGAGCCGCCATGGCTTCCGAGTTGGGGATCTCGAAGTCCTTCACCGGAATCGCGGCGGTCTTCGAGATGGGGATCTCGGGTCCTTGGGTAGCTCGCGGAACGCGACGACTCGTTCGGGGTCAACCGGTGTGGCCACGCCCGCGATGCGGCGTTTTCGGCAGAACCGCTTTCGAGATCCGTGACCGGTTTGCGGAGCAGACCTTCGCATTCGAGCGCTGTCTGTTCCATCTTTTGGTGCAGGAAACCGAGTTCCTGCAGGACGTCGTCCTGCGTGACATGGAACTCGCCGGAGGCCCGTAGGCTCGATTGTGAGCAGATGCTTTCGGTGCGTGACAGCTCGGTGCTGTCGCTTGTCGGTTTGCTGCCCATGCTAGCGTCGTCCTGTAATTCGGCCAGTTCGTCCTTCTTGTACCTTGTCGATGGCTAATGCCCGCTACGGGTGATTAGAGTAGGGTAGAGCCTAATAACTGTGGCATACACCCACGCTGAGGAATCGACCATGAACGGGTAGCTCTGAAAATACTTTAATTTTGTTAGCTTAAACCTGTAAAAATAACGAGAGGGGTTACTT